GCCTGCCCCCCCATCTTATTGGAGGGTATCCCCTGCCTGCCCCCCCATCTTATTGGAGGGTATCCCCTGCCTGCCCCCCCATCTTATTGGAGGGTATCCCCTGCCTGTCCCCCATCTTATTGGAGGGTATCCCCTGCCCCCCATCTTATTAGAGGCTATCCCCCATCTTATAGAGGGTATCTCCAGGCCCCCCCCCCACCATCATAGGGAGAGGGGCAGGGGATACCTTCTCTTTCATATAAAGAGGATATCCTCTGGAAGTGGCTGCAGTCTCCTGTCAGGAAAATGGTGTCCCTTGGTTGGAATAGCAGCCCCTCCCCCAACAGAGATTGCCCCCTATCCAGAGGTGACAGTCTAATGTAAGAGAGAGAGAGAGAGAGAGACTGTTCCCTGACCAGAGGTGACAATTTCCTGTCCAAGAGAGTTTCCCCTGGCCAGAAGCAGTAGTCTAATGTCAGAGAGAGTCTCTCCTGGCCATAGGCGGTAGTCTAATGAGAGAGCGAGAGTGTCCCCTGGCCAGTGGCGGCAATTGCCTGTCAGAAAGACTGTGTCCCCCGGCTAGAGGCGGTAGTCTAATGTCAGAGAGTGTCCCCTGGCCATAGGCGGCGGTCTAATGTCAGAGGGAGAGTGTCCCCTGGCCATAGGGGGCTGTCTAATGTCAGAGAGAGAGTGTCCCCTGGCCATAGGGGGCTGTCTAATGTCAGAGAGAGAGTGTCCCCTGGCCATAGGGGGCTGTCTAATGTCAGAGAGAGAGTGTCCCCTGGCCATAGGGGGCTGTCTAATGTCAGAGAGAGAGAGTGTCCCCTGGCCATAGGGGGCTGTCTAATGTCAGAGAGAGAGAGTGTCCCCTGGCCATAGGCGGTGGTCTAATGTCAGAGAGTGTCCCCTGGCCATAGGGGGCTGTCTGTCAGAGAGAGAGTGTTCCCTGGCCATAGGTGGCAGTCTAATGTCAGAGAGAGAGTGTTCCCTAGCCATAGGCGGCAGTCTAATGTCAGAGAGAGAGAGTGTACCCTGGCCATAGGTGGCAGTCTCTACAGTATGTTTTTATGTTTTGGTTTGCTCATCCTCTTTAACAACAAAAATGAATTCCAATAAAAACAATGAATTTGTGTGGTGAACTTGCTAATTATTCATATCCAACAAGAATATTGAATCATACTGTAAAATCAGTTAATATATTTGACTATTTTGGCCTGGATTTTGCCATTTTCTTTTTGTCCATTTTCCGCATTTCCCAATTTAGTGCCTAAGTTCCATTTTGCTAAAATACTTAATTACTTAAGGCCCCAGACTTAATTTTCCCCCCATAATATAATTATCAACAAATATATATTCACAATGTTAAATCATTTTAAATCTTTCCAAACAAATATTAAACCGAGGCCTAAATTTTTTTTTTTTTATGGTTGTTTCATATTCAGCATTTGTATATGTTTATAAGGATTAATTGCCATAATATTGTCATCGTACAGTTCTTGTTCTGTACTTTTAAGCTGTGTAGAAAAAACCCCTCTTACAGACAAATCACATGCTTTCATCAGAATTATAATTATCTCTTTTCTATTGTGCAAGAATCGTTTTTGTGTTTTTGTGTTTTACCTAAAAACTGGTAAAGCATCATGGGAGATTGTAGTGCTATAACATCTGGGGGGGTCTACATTTTTTTGGGGGGGGGGGGCTCCCCTGCCCTATATAGTATTAGAAATGTGAAAGTATTAATATGTGCGTTTTCTATGCTCCCCCAGCGTAGTCCTGTTTGCCTGTCTCTGTGTAGCTCAGTTCCTGTAGAAATGAGTGTAATGCAGAGTTTTCTGAACTGCTTTCTCGTGATCAGTGACTGGCTGGGGGAAGTGAAATGACATGCATTTGTTTTTCCAGTGTTTAACATATAGACTTTTTATGCTCCAGAATGCGGATGTTTGACTCCTGACAAAAGAATACCTCCCACGTTTCCCTATTTAGGAGGGACATTTTTTTTTTAAAATCTAAAGCCCTCTTTTATACCCTACCTAATATCCCCCTTTTCTTGGAGCTCCATATTGTTGGTGCAGAACCAACCAGTAACAGAACTTCACAGCAATAATACTCAGAGTGATGAATTTAATTTACAATAAATGTGTTTGGAAATCAGTCAGTTTAAATACGATCGTTCTTGTTCTAAATTACATTATATTTGCACAAATGGTTGTTTGTAAATCCACCTAATAATTATCCCAACAGCCACGCCCCAGGCCTCTAAAATTAGCGTTTCTCTCTTTTGTCCGTTTTGAAATATTGGGAAGTATTTGAAAGCAATACAACTCTGATGGCTCAGTAAGTTAAAGCACTTACTGGAAAGCTTTGTGTGTGTGTGACCTACACTTCACTAGTTAGAATCCACACAGGTTTGCTCATCCCTTCTTCCTTACAAAAGCAATACAATCAGTGCCACATTTAGATAAAAGTAATATTCTGTTACTCTAAAACCCAAAGGACTAATTTTGTTGTTGTATTGAGACCATTTTTATTTTCTGTCATTTATTATAGAGAATTATTTTATTCTAGGATATAAGCACTGAGGTCACACAAGTGATATTTGCCCACAGCAGTTGGGAGTAGTTCCAAAATCAATGTGCTTATAATTAGCTGTCTGGGCTGCTTCATGGTGTGCAGGCCTGTTGGGTGGGCTTCTAGTGATGTTTCTGAGTTTGTTCCCCTGTTGGAGAACTTCCAGTAGTAAAGGCTGGAGAAACTGAACTTATTATTGTGTAACAAAGACAATCAATCATAAGTGTAGATATCAGTGAAACTGGAAGTAGTAATGGTGAACCTCACCACACCACCAAAAAACAAAACGTACTCAACAATGATATACGGTATATGAAAATATATCTAAATAAGCTCCAGAATAAGACGCTTTAAAAA